AGAAGATTTTATTCCCTCCACCCAGTGGATCAGAAACAACAACAATAACAACAACAAAAAACAAATAGTGCTAAGTTACTTTTGGCAGTAGAAGCACACACATACACAAAGCCACTAATGTTTTCATTAAAATATGACAAACTTTTAAATCACAGATCCCACGAGAAGCAGTGCACCCATTAACTGAAATCACCCATGAAAATGTTAAATAATATGCATTCTTTTTTAACACAGCAGAGAATTGTGTAATCTTATAGAAAATCATTCCTCCCAAATAATGAATGCCCTTAAGGCAGCAAATTTCAGTTCTTTGAAGAGAACCACTTATGTGTAATTACACATCATTATTATTCAGTGGTACTCTTGTGCTGAGGCTGGCTCACCTGTTTTCAACTCCCGTTCACATTCCTTTTTCTTCCTGCTCCTCCCTGGTTTTGCTTAGCTTCCCTTTAGGAAGACTGACTGAACTGAGGGTTCAGAATGTCCCCAGTTCTCCAGCATCCCAGGCAGCCAGAGAGGGTTGGCCCTTCTATTACAGAGACATTCTGATTTCTACCTCTCCCTTGCAAGTATTAACTTCAAACTCTGTTATCTGGGAGGTGGCAGACAACCATCAAAACCACATAAAAACAACTGCCAGGCAGTAGTTCAAATCATCAGGGGATCCCTGGTGGCTTAGTGGTTATGTTTTGGACTGCTATCCACAGGGTTGGCAGTTCTAAACCATCAACATCTCCACAGGAGGAAGACAAGACTTTCTAACCGTGTAAAGAGTTGCAGCCTTGTAAACCCATGGGGCCAGTTCCACCCTGTCCTATAGGGTTGCTATGAGTGGGAATTGCCCCAATGCATTTGAAGTTTGGAGAGGTTAATGATGTTCCCCACGCATGTGTCAACCTGGAGGCAGAGAGGAGCTTTTCAAGTGTAGTGAACCCCAAACCCTCTGTCATCCAGTTGGTCCCCCCAGGGCAGAGTAGAACCGCTCCTTTTGGCTTTCGACACGCTAAACCTTGGCAGGTGCAAGCAGCGTTATCTTTCTACTTCAGACCGCCAGGTGGGTTTGAACCCACCCCCACCCCCACCTAATGGCTAGCAGCCCAATGCTTTACCTCGGTAATCAAGCTGCTGGATCTGAACTATGTTGAAGCAGGTGAGGCAGGAGCAGGTCAGGAAGGCGTTGGAGGCTTGAGTTACACAAATCCAGGAACATCTCACAGATATCGGGAGGGGGTTGGATTCCGATGGTCTCGACGTGAACCGTCCATCACGCAATGCACGGCGGTCACGTGGATTTCTTTTCCTTTGTGGGGGGCGTTTCCCAGTGCCTTTGAAAGTGGTGTTCTTACGCGTGCCTGTAGACAATGAAGCGTGTAACGGCATTATGAAAACCTGAGAAATGGTGTGAGAAGGATCCACACCTGGTCATGTGACACAGAGGCAGGAAGAGTTAGGATCCCCACGGCCTTGCTCTAAGTCACTGGGTGGCCACAAACCTCTCATTTGTGAGATATTCGGCATTCTCACCACGTGCCACCACGCCAAGCCCAAGACAGCAAAGCAGGCCTGTCAGGGGCGTTGGGGTCCTTGCCTTGTTTTTGTTTGACTTCCTCTTTCTTATTTACTTCCTAGGGAGGAATGCATCAGACTTGTTCCCTCCGTGCTCCCTGCTCTAAACATGGACGTCTGGAGGGAAAAGCCTTTCCTCTTTCACAGGTGCCTTCTGGGGAGTTGCTTGCTCCAGGAAGCCGATGCTGGTGGACCTTACAGAGTCTGAGATGCAAAAAATAGACCGAAAGCAAGAGCCTGCGGCTGCAGGTCCACAAAGCAAGAGAGGGGGATCCTCCCCGGAGCACCCAGCTCATGGCCTGGTGTTATCACTGTGTACCTGCCTTAATTGGCCCCATCCCCAAGAGGGTGGCATTTCTCCGTGGGCTGCCTGCGGGGGTGGAAAGCGGCAGTCGGGCTGTGGTAGGTGCAGGTCCTCCCGTTGGGAAGGAGGCTTTGTGGTTTCGCCGAGGGACAGGCCTCCTGAAATGAAATTAATCTGAAGTTTGAAATTTACCCAAACCCCACAACCGATGTTTAAGTTGGTAATTACGCCACCCCTCGTGAGTTGTCCCCTGTCTCCAGGAATGAAAACCAGCAGTTGAGAGACGCAGGTTGTAAACGAGCAACTTCTGGGCCCTGGGTAGAGATGGAGAATATGCATTTTCAGCGCCAAGGAGAACACAAGTAAGACCTTTGTAACCAAGGGCACTTCAGCCTGAAGGAAACATTTACATCCATGAAGGAGGGAACCTCGAGCGAATGACCTTGGCTGTGATCCCAGGGTTGCTGCTACCGACTAGCTGTTATGCTGGTACAGGGGACTGAACTTGTCAGGACTCTGCCTGGCTACGAACCGAAAGGTTGGTTGGTCTGAAACTCCTTGGGAGAAAGAGCGGGCAATCTGTTCCCAGAATGAGTCTAGTCCAGAAACCGCTCTTACTCTTGTGGATTCCTATGCATCGTGACCCTATCAGACAGCGGTTCTCAACCTGTGGGTCACGACCCCTTTGGGGGTTGAACAGCCTTTTCACAGGGGTCGCCCGATTCATAACACTAGCAAAATGATAGTTGTGAAATAGCAACAAATATAATGTTATGGTTGCGGGGTCACCACCACATGAGAAACTGTATTAAAGGGCCACCCCCGGCATTAGGAAGGTTGAGAACCACTGCATATAGGTCGAGATAGAATCGCACCCTCTGAGTTCCCAAGACTGTCATTCATGGAATTGGGAAACCTTTTCTCCCGTGGAGTGGCTGGTGGTTTTGAACTTCAGTTAGCAGCCCAACGTGCAACCCGCCAAGCCACCAGCGGTACTAAGAAAACCCTACTGGCCAGTAAACCCTGTTACATATGAATTGATCCAATTGATAATATTTATAAAGAACTGATCAAAGTTCTTGGAATATAATAAAGGTCATGCGAGTCCTTCTTAAGGAACAAAAGCCAGTTGTCCTTAAGATTCCCAATTTTGGAAAACATTGAGTTAAATGATTCCAAACTCACTAGAGGAAGTGGTATTTTCTTTAAGACTCCATATCCTTGGTAACTTTGTGTCCTAAAATAATATGCCAATAAATCTGGGAGGTAGATAAGATGAAAATACCAATACGAGTTCAGTGATCCATGAACTCCACGATTCAGCTCCCATTTCTCCCTCCAAAACAAGGACCGGCAAAGTGAAGCCCCTGAGGATGGCAAGGAGCCAACTCTAGCACACAATCTATATTGTTATAAATAAAGTTTTATTGGAACCTAGCCTTGCCCAGTCTTTTTCACATTGTCTGTGACTAGGAAGAGTTGAGTACTTCCCACAGAGACCGCCTAGTCTGTAAAGCCAGAACCCTTCACTCCCGGGTGCCCCAAATGTTTGCTGACCCCTGATATACAATAAACAAATAGTACCTGGCTTGTTTCTGTGAGAATGAGATGAGGTTCACCCAATGGCAGCGAGTTTTATTGTTACCACGTGGATTCGTGGTTCGCCTTTGGGCCACTAACTGCAAGGACAGCAGTTCAAAACCCCCAGCAGCTCCTCAGAAGGAAGCTAAAAGAGTTGTAGTCTCAGAAGCCCACAGTCAGGGCCAGTTAGAGCCTGTCCCAGAGGTTCACTATGAGTTGGAATCGACCCTCTAACAGCGTGGCATAAAAATAGGTAAGGGCTTGGCTACTAACTGTAAATGTTGGTGGTTCAACTCTTCGCAGAAGTACCTCCCAAGAAAGGCCTGACGATCTACTTCCAAAGGATTGTAGCCACTCTGTGAAACCCACGCTGTGGAGCATAGTTCTACTCCGGCACTCATGAGGTCGCCGTGAGTTGGAATCAAGTCGGCAGCCTTTGGCCTTCGATATTATCACTAGAGGGGGAACCCAGCGAATGAAGAAAATCTTTGTTCCTTTCATTTGCTCACTTGATTTCGGGTATCCTCTCTCTTCTGAGGCCATTGTGTCCAAAAACAGAATCTGAGCCTGACTTCCTCGAGCAGAGATTAAACTAATCCGCCAGGCCACTGCACCTGTCCGTTGAGTCCATTTCTATGGCTCCATTCATTTGCAGCAGCCGCATTTCAGCCCTGTTGTCCCCAGAGCACTTGCTTCAGGGCCCAGCTCCTCTGCAGACACTGCCAGGAAGCACACAGAGGCCGGAACCCATTGTTTTCCATTTTGAATGTTTTTATTTAGAAATAATAAAATAAGACATAATATATAAAAATATGTACAATCCATGGTTTGTGCAGTACAATAGAAAGACATTAGATACAAAAAGACGGCCAACGGGGGAAAACAATAACTATCAACAATAACTTTATTTTACCAAGAATAACTATCCATGATTGTCAGAAGGCCAGGATTGTTCAACTCGCCAGAGCCCAGAGCTGAAAGCCAGCTTGAGAGGAGGAGAAACTCCAATTGGCTGAGGGGGGGAGGGGCTGGGGGCTGATATTGCAACACTTGTTTTGTCATTTTCTTTCCCACCTTAACATTATTAAACACAGACTGAAAAGGTGCTCACTCAATATCTCAGAGCAAGCATCTTGCCTTGGCTGAGTGTTTGCGTAGAAAATAGGAACTGACACACGTGTCTCATCCAGCTGCAGGGGGAATGTGCTTTGGGGAACAGACCAGCTCCGATACCCATCCAGGTTCGGGAGAGGGGTGGACAGGGAAGCTAGGCAGTCAGGAGAAGAAAGACACAATGACTTCACAGAAATTACAAAACAAAACAGAAACAGTAAGGAAAAAGCAAAAGAAACTTCCTCCAAGAATTTAGAAATGACTACAGTGCTATCGGGACATCCTGAAAATGTCTGATTTCAAGTATATTCTTAAGAGGGATAGAAAACTATTCCTTTCTCAATAATCAAAATATAATTCACTTTCTCTACTTTTATTTAAAAATAGGATAACAAGGAATCTATGCCCTTCCCACCCTGTTCCCACCCTACCCGCCTCCCCAAAATAGAATGCCCATCCATATCCGGGGCAAAATGCTTTTGAAGAGAACACATTCTAAGAAAATTCAGATGGGGTTTGCTTGCATGACAGAAGCAATGCATATCTGAGATTAGACCCCCAGATCTTCACAATGAGGTCCCTGGCTTCCGCAGTCTGATGACACATGGGCACTAAAGAGACCCAGTCAAGAAGGACAAATGTTTTGAAGGTAAAATGCAGCAAAAGGTAGCATGCATTAACCTGTGTCTTGGCTCTTGACAAACACAACACCAAACAAAAGAGAAAAAAAGTTGCCATTTAAAGCTTGTAACGGTTAAAATGTTAAGAACTAGAGAAAGCTTTCAAAGAGCAGCCCATGCTGAAATAAATAACAGAAGAACATAGCAATACGGACCTTATAAAGCTGGTACACTGTTGCTAAGACCATGCTAACCGGCAGCATATCGGCACTAGCTCTCAGACACTGATGCACTGAAGTTATACTTTCTATGGCATTTTATTTTTTCCTTTTCAGACTTCTATTTACATTTGGCTTTAAATATGAAAATATCTGATAAACTTTATAAAATGTACACTTTAAAAACATGGCTTCTGCAAAATTTTCTTGAAAAAAAACAAACTTGTGCACCAGAAATCTTAGATTATTTTTTAAAATCTTTTTTCAGAAATAAGCTGAAAGGTTTCCCTCCCACAGCCTCACCCCCAGCACACCCTTTCTCCAGTATCTCAAGTCTGTATATATGTGTCTGTGTGTGTCTACGGCAGTACTGTGTGTTTGGGGTGCTACCTGTGTGGTTACCCCAGTCTCCACTGAATCTTCATATAATTTACAGATCACTGAATACTCTTTGGTTTGATTATTTTCCTTTGCAAAACATTGTAATAGCAGCAGCTGAAGTCTTCTATATTCATTCTCTGTCATCAGCCAAATTATTGCCTCATCTATTTCTTCTTGACCACTTGATTCCTCAAACCCTCCAACTCTTTAGACAACGTCCCAAGCCTGCCCTTCCACCTGGATTTAGAATAGCATTCATGCATTTGATATCCCTCACTCATTTTCATTAGCATACCACCTGTTGACTTTGAACGCTGCTAACAGCACACTCGGTCTTCTTATTACAGGCACCTCATTCAGAGATGGCTCTTCCAGAATGAGACGCCATGCCCAACATCAGCGCCCAGAAGACATGACTCTAGAACAAGCTAGTTTTTAATGGCATACAGGGATATAACACCAAAAGAGAGTTGATTCCAAGACTCCTAATTAAGAAGAAAAGTCAGTCACCCCAGAATTCACAAATAGGGAACTTAACAAAATAAAAATAAGTTCCATTATTGAACTAGAATGGAGGGTGGGGGGTGGGCGGGATTTTTTAGCAAGGCAGGGAGCCAAGAGAGGCTTCTGGAAAAGTTAAGTCATAGTACCTTGTTCTCGGGCTCCACAGGAGACAAGGGTCAGCACAGAGATTGCCTTCAATGAGTGTGCCTAGCGAACGGGGGAATAATCATCTTCAGGCAGTATCACTTTGAGTGTGGCCCTGTTTGTTGTGTATGGCTTTCGTTGACCCTAGAATACTGACACATTTCCAGTCCTACCCTCGATCATCAAAAGAACATTCTTCCTTCCTCTCCCCTCTGAATACTTGAACTGATGGGCTGCAGGGCCGTGGCTTGTCCACACTAGGGGCCTCCCCTCTTTGGCTTCTGCAGCCCTGCCTGGCACAGTTGGGCTCCTTCTAGATCTTTTCAGACTGAGTAGAGGAGCCTAGGGGCCAAATGGGTAACATCGTTTCTGGGGCAAAATCAAGCTGGAAATGGCGTGGCATAAAACATTTTAAAAATCTTTCATGCTGGCTGGCTCAGTTCTGGAGACTCCAACGTTCAGCTCAACCAGGGTCTTAGCTTCCAGAATAAATTCAGGAATGTCCGAAATGGGAAGACCCAGGACAACTTCCCTAGCCTGTGTCATCACCATTCTTCCCTTTCTTTGTAGCATGGCATCGGGGTGTGGGGGGTGGAGGAGGAGAAAAGATGCATATGTGACAGGGGTGTCTGTATGTGCATGCATGTGCAATTTTACTTCCCCTTTCCTCTTCCAGTAAGAAAGCCACGTTAAAGAAAAGACCTTACAAACCATTGCACATATCGGGCTGTGTGTGTGTGTGTGTGTGTGTGTGTGTGTGTGTGTGTGTGATGCTCTACTTTCTGGATACGGTGCAAAGTGAGGGGCTAGTACAAGGGCTGACTGAGGTTCAATGCTGTGGTCTCTTGATTCCACAGCAGCCTGCGGGTGGGAGGGAGGGGTGGCTTTGTTTCCTTTTTGAGTACAATCTCCACTGTGCAAAAATGAGCATTATATTTCTTTGGTATTCATTTTAGGTAGTGTAACTTAACATCTGAGAACACCCATTAACATTATGGGGGGTTTGAGGGGTAGGGGGAACAACGCACACAAAAATAACCAACCCTGGAGGCTACCATTTGGCTAGCATTACATAATGCCCTTATGTAACCAAAGACAGAGAAAGGGGGTGGGGTGGGGGATGGAGAATCAATTCTAGCAAACAAATTACGGGCCTCCAAAACTCAGGCTCTTGTTTCGGCAGCTAATAGCCAAATACTTGCCACTTCCAAGTGCATCATGAGCTTTCAACAAAGTTGAACACTGACTTAAATGACACAAATGAGGAGGCGTGAAGAAAAAAAGGGGAGAAAAAGAAAAAACAACTACACCACCACAAAAATACAATGTGTGCTCATGTAGTTAGCAGCTTTACAAGAATTAAGGCAGAGTCTTGCCTTTGTTATGCCATTAAAAACAGGCTTGTTCCCTAAAGAGTCGCCTACTGGATAAGTCAAATACCCAGACCAGGCTTGCCTGCAAGTTCAAGTTTTGTACACTCAACAGGACGTGAGAAACCCATCACTGATCCTCCAACACGTGCGCGCGAGCCGTGGAGTCAGGCCGACGTGCAGCATGGGTTGTGCGAACCGTCCGCTTCCAGTCTTTCTTTGAAACCATCCCACTCGCCGCAGTCCCTGCGGCCACTCGCCCAGACCCACCTCGTCACCAGTCCCGTCGTCTGTCTAACCGACGTGGGCCTCTGAGCGACAGACTTTGTGCGTGAAAGTCAGTATTGCAGAGGAGTCAGCTCCGTCATATCTCTGATTCTCGCCGCAAAGGCCTGGGCTCTAGAGGTACGCTGGCCTGGTTGTGAAGGTCCATGTCAGGGGGCGTGTCTGTGCTCGTGCTTTCTGGAAGTCCGTTTTCACTATCGTCTTCCTCTTTGCTCGTGAGGGCGACCTCATTTTCATAGCAAAATGAGTTTGCACTGGAGAGGATGTATTTCTTTTCGGCTAAGTCTCTGGCACTACACAAGGGCGTGTTGGGTACTTCATAGGTTTTGTGGAACCGGGAGTAGTCCACTTTGTAGTAGTGCTTCTCTTCGAAGAGGACCGGCTCATAGCGGTGGCCCCAGAGGATTTCATTGGCCAAGTACGAGCTCCGGCACTGGGTCGTCATGGCGGTGGCTTCCACCATGCCTTCCAGGATCACCACAATTTCAAAGTCTGCGTTATCAACGTCCTGCTTACTCAAGTCGTAGAGGGGGCTGTCCTCATCGATTTCGTGGACGATCGTGATGGGGGACACCAGAAAGATCCGGTCAATCCCACTGTCGAAGCCGACGTTGATGTCGATTTGGTCCAGTGGGATGTACTCCCCTTCGGAAGTGATCCTAGATTTGAGCAGCTGCGCTCGCACGTGCGCTTCCACCAAGTGGCTCTTGCGCAGGTTGCCCACGCGCCACATCAAGCACAGCTTGCCGTCCCGCATGGCAATCACGGCATTGTGGCTGAAGACGAGCGTCTCGTTTCTCTTCTTGGGCTTGGCCATCTTGGCCATGACGGCGCCGATGATGAAGGCATCGATGATGCAGCCCACGATGGACTGGAACACGACCATGAACACCGCTATGGGGCACTCGTCCGTGACGCACCGGAACCCGTAGCCGATGGTCGTCTGGGTCTCAATGGAGAAGAGGAAGGCGGCGGTGAAGCTGTTGACCTCGGACACGCACGCTTTGCTCTGCTTCGTCCCATCCAGGTCCCCGTGCAGCAGGGCTATCAACCAAAACACGCAGCCGAAGAAGAGCCACGAGAGGACGAAGGCCAGGCAGAAGATGACCAGCATCCATCGCCAGCGGATGTCCACACACGTGGTGAAGATGTCTGCCAAGTACCGCTGCCCCTTCTCCCCCACGTTGATGAACTGCACGTTACAGTGGCCGTCCTTCTTCACAAACCGGCTGCGACACTGCTGCCGAGTATGGACTTTGCTCTTGCCGTTCCCGAAGCCATTCGCCACGGCCATGGTGGCCAACTTCATGCCGTCTTCCTCCGAGGAGACAATGCTGTAGCGGTTGGTCCGCACGCTGCCCATCGCTTCTGCCGTGGACTCCAGTGCTTCTGCTTTGGAAAACAGTCTGAGTTTTTGCAGAAACCTTTGGAGAAACAGTTTTGAACGCTCAGTGACGACGCACACGTCGGAAAACAAGGACAAGATAGATGGGGCGCTCCAGGAAACTCGAAGGTCTGCCAAGGAGGTGTCTCTCCAAGTGCAGAGCTAACTTAAGAATTCAGCGGACATCCAGAGGGCATTTCCTACAAGAAAAGAGAGATAGTTTGTTATAAAAATAAAGTTGCAAGGGTCTTTACTGCCTGAAAGACACTTCCTAACAAGAGCAGGGGTCAGTGAGAGAGGTGACTGTATACCTCATTGGCTTACAGGGTTTTAAAAAAAAATTATTTCTGTATACCCTGATTGTGTGTGTGTGTGTGTGTGTGTGTGTGTGTCTGACTTTCTTTAAAGGCATGCAGTCATTAAACAAAGAACGGTGGTTGTGGCAATCTTTCAGCCACACTAGCTGGCTGTGTTCTTCCTTAGCGCTTTAGAATATTCTATTCCTACATGTGGAATATTCTCTCCTATAGGTGGGCCCTCTCCCTCCCAGTCTCTTCTTTGGCCTTCCTACGTTATTCATATTTAGAGGAGCTTTCTGATTCAAAATGGATAGTATCATGCAGCTTTAAGAAGTAGGGAAGAGAGAGAGGGCACATCACAAGAGTGTATTGGATAATGGACCTCAATTGAATTGCATCTGTGTTCTATTGGGGTGGCTCTTAGACCCCTGGGCATCAGAAGATACAGGCTACTGTGATGTAAATGACCACACTGCGCAGGCAGCCCTTCTAACCCTTGGAGCTGGTTCCCAATTTCTGGAAATTGTTGAGGCTTGCACCATTGCCTGGCATCCTCCAGGCAGCCAGTCTGCAGAAATCCCTGATAACATCTCTGAGAGTGCAAGTGATGCAGACTTGAAGGTAAGGTTTGCTCTGGGGGATACAGAGCGATTCTGTTGCTTAGCGATGAGTTCTGAAATTCTCCCGAGATGGGACTGCCATGTGTAATGACAGGCTTGGAAGTAAGCACCTTGGTGCTAAAGGACCAAGGTCTTTAGCAGATTGAGATCAGGCAGAGACTCAGTTCATGTAGGTCCAATTCCACGTTTTCCCCAACAGAGGAAACTTTGTCAGGGTAGGTGGCCAATGCCAGTCTGCTTACTTTCACTTCCAGCATTGTTGTTTGCCATCTGTTTCTATGGAGAAGGCACTCACATTTACTTAATACGAACACATGATAGTTTTTCCGGTGATCTCCTCTCGCCTCATTCTCCCCTAGGTAAAAATGACCGACTTTACAATCCCAGCTCCACTACAGAAGGACAGGTTGGTCAGCTGACTCATTCACCGGAGCCTACATCTAGGGTTGTGCTTTTCCAAATTTAAGTGAACAACATTACTAGCACATAGAACTAACACAAAAGAGAGAGGCCTCTCATTTCCGATCACAAAACCCAGCCCCTGCTCGTAAGGGGGTGGTGAATACCATGTGGACAGGACCAGGGACGAGTTGAAGATGAAACAGCTAACCAAGTCGGTTTCTGCCAGCCAGCCACTGCCCATTAAAGAAAAGCCTGGAACTTGTGTTTGTATACCCCTTGACAGAAAGGGAAGGTGCTTTGCCCCTGCAACTGTCTTGCACAGTCTTTTGACTTTACTCTCTTTATCCAAGTTATTATGCAAGAATGTGCCTCAACACATTTTTCCCCAGATTAGTCATCTGTGAAAATTGCAATGTGTGTTACATTTTGGCAGCTTTTGACACCTAAATGATGCCCGATTCGAAAGTGCCTTTGAATTGCTTTATAAAGAGAAGTTACAGTGCCTCCCTCACCTTCCACCTGCTTCAATGTTTTGTCTGCCTCCCTGGGAGGTTTGCACTTGGACAGAAGGCAGCAGCCTCTTCTTCCCCAGGGTTCGAGAACCTGGGTGCATGGAAGGCACTGCCTTTCAGAGGAATTTCACTCTGTTGGATTCATGTGAGATTTCCAAGCTTTCAGCAAGGACCGATGAAGATAACAGCAGAACACGAAGTGCAGGTGTGCTTTCAAACAAGCGAAAGGCCTAAGGCCCATGTGAAGAATGCTTGGATCCTTGCATCCTGATTGCCTTCAGAACCTTCTATAGGAAGGCGGTCTCAAAGCAATCCCTTTGTGTGAGTCAAACCCAGCCTTCTCCCTGAGTTACCATTAGGAGCCAGGAGTAGAGGGTCTCAAATGTCATTGGACTTATTTTTTCATCGTCTCCAGATAAAAGTATGCTTTTTGAAGGACATGAAAGATTGACTACATGTCACTCCCTCTGTAACCAAACAGATTGACTCATGAGCCAAGACTAGATTCTAAGAATCATATGGGATCAACAGACCCAACTGTGGCATTCCAAACATCCTGACTGGAGGATTCCACCAAGGACACTGTATCAGGTTCCAGTACGTGGCACAAAGATGTGACAGTCTGCTTCCATACAGAGCTGCAACCTCAAAAACCCTATGGGGATCCTTTACGCTGTCTCATGGGTCAGTCGCGATGAGTCAGAACCCACTCCAGAAGAGTGGGTTTGGGCTTTGGGTTTTGTTTTCCAAAGAGATTTCTGCTTTTAGACCCTTGAAAATAACCCATACTGTGAGTGTGACCACTATCGCCTTATTCCCAGGGCTACTGACCAAATTGTTCCACATGCAGAGTGTCATTCAGAAATGGGATCATGTCTGCCCAGGTACAAAAGAGAAGAAAAGGTTTCTTCGGCAAAATGAAAACTTTTGTGACTTGGTAAAGATAAGTCCCCCTCCCAAACGGTTACATGTGTGAGCATGTATTTTATATACTCAATTGCTGTGGAGCTGACTACAAAGGAGCTCTGGTGGTTTAGCAGGTTCTGCTTGGGGCTGCTAACTGCAAGCTCTGTAGTTTGAACACACCAGCTGCTCCTTGGCAGAAAGATGAGGCTTTCTGCTCCTGTCAAAGATTTATAGCCTCCGAAAATGACAGGGCGCCAGTTCCTCTTTGTCCTATAGTGTCAATATCAGTCAGAATCAACTCAATGGCAGTGAACTTCTGTAGCAAAACTCTAGAACCTGCCAGGGTTTGATAGGGTCCTGGTCTTAATATTTTTTTAAGAAGACAGCCTTGCCTGTTAGCGGCCCAGTTACTTTTAGGCAAATAGAAAACTTCCTATCCCTCTCTCTCATCGTTGCCCACAGCAGGGCATCTGGGAGAAAGCTTCCATCAGAAATAGGAACTTCCATGGGCATTTATTTCAGGCATTTAATTGCCATGGTTTCTTCAGAAGCATTCAAAGAAAGGTAGATAAGACCAGTGTATGGACTTGACTGCTTAGAATCACACAACTCAGGTGCTGCCTCCCGCAATATTTGAGTGGATGAGAATCATGAAAGAAAGAAAAAAAATCCCCTTTCCTCCAAAATATTTTAGGGGCCGGCTAGAGATTGAATGAAAACAGATAATCACTTTACCCAGGCCATAACCAATGATGTTGAAAGTCTTTCTGGGAAATTGAGAGGTTACATGTGGTGCTGTTCATGCTAAGACTATTTATAGGCCGAGCCAGAATTAAGCATAAGCAGTGGAAAAAAATAGTTCAGCACTTCAATCTTAGGTAGATGGTAAAGGGAGGGGGCTCTGGCGAGATACAAGGTCACAGAAGACACGGGGCATACATGGTGTTGATAGCATGTTTTTCTTATGTAGGTAATAGACACAAAAAGGCATTATGAAAAAGAAATATGTCCCATCCTATGGTGCGCTGTGTAAAAAATCAGAAAGTTTCTGGCAGAGACTAGGAAAGACAGAAAGCACAAGACAGTGTACTGGGCTGAGAGAGAGGTTTGCTAATGAGTGTTTCCAGCAGTTATTCCCTGGCTGACGCCATATAGACCAGCCCCGGTGTGCTCTGGGCACATGTTGCTATGTGAGCGAAAATGCTTGCAAATCAACCTCTTGGAAGATCAGTAAACAGAAGGGAGGGGGAGGGGAAGCCAGCTGGGAGGGGAGAGGTGAGGAGGGCAGAACAGAGGCATAACCATTTAACTACATGGACACTACCTATAACCCTTACACTGCACAGTGCAAGTAGTGCCACTCAGCATTTGCATAGGCTGGAAAATAAGTATATTTTGTCAACAACCCCCTCTCCCCCCAACACACACACACACACCCCACACACACCAAGCCCAACCTTGGGGCATTAGTCACTCTGCTCAGGTAAAGATGTAGTGACTCTTGGTCCATCCTTCATACTACTCAGAAGTCATACAAGGATTCTTAGAACGGACCAGAGATGCAGAGATTCTAGAGACTGAACCGTCTGGAGGATGAAGAAAGACTGGGCGCTCTCCCCCCAAAATCTCAGAGAAAACAAACAAACAAAGAAACATCAAATTCTTGAGTCTAGGTACAGAATCCTCTAACATCAATTGCCACCAAAGTGTGAGGGGGAGGGGCAGAAAGCAAAATGAAATGACCTTGACCCCATGCTCTGCAACCCAGATCCTAGAAGGAACATCTGACTGATCCTTCAGAATATAAGGGTTTTTTTTTTTTTTTTTTATTCCTGATAATGGAAACTAAAGATGGAAAACCCTTGAGGCTGGGGGTGGGGGTGGGGGGGTGGCAGCGAGGAAGGAAGGAACAAATGCAAAGATTAACCTCTGGAAGTCATACAAGGGAGCTTAGCAAAAGGAAAAGGAATGGGCTACCTTTTGATTGCAAAAGTGTCAAAACCAGTCTTCATTCTTTGCATATCCAAAATAGGCATTCAAAAGCTATCTTTTTTTCCCACGCTGGTGCAGTCTGATTTTATGGGAAAAAAACCAGGAATCACAAACTTATCCTAGTTACCATCCTATTGATAAGTTCACCAAGGCATGGACATAAAATGGGGACACTTCCGACCTCGAGAATCACCACCTCCCCGCCCCTCCAACTGTCATGATGAGTCCTTGTTATGATGCAACATTATTGCAGAATCAGGTCGTTCTGACCACGGTGGTGCTTTGCAATCGCACTGCCTTCCACTTAGGGATTCCACACGACTATGTTTCAGGAGAGTTAATGGCTTAAGTGAAAATGACATAGGCAGAGAAAGTTTTGCGGTCCTCGGGCTCAAATCCAACTGCTGTGTGCCCTTAGCCAGCAAAGCAACTTGGAGATCTCGCTCTGGAACACCAAGCCACACTTAAAGCAAGGACACAGACACACACGGATACAACGACGGAGAACAGGAAGAATACTGAGCCCCCAAAGGCTTGCCAAGTTTGAGACCCACGTTTTAGACCTCGTCCCTCTCCTCTCCCTAGGAGTGAGATCCTCAAGCAGACGCAGATGCCCGGGCCCCAGCCTCCTAACTCGGTATCTAGCTGCAGCTGGTGCATTAGAAGTTATGAGCACAAACAGATGCTGCAGCGCAATCTGTTTCTATTGCTCAACTGTTCCAAGCATGTCTCAGTATTTTTAGCTCTAAGGATGGTCGTGAACACACACAAACGGTCATGGGCATGATCTGAGGCTCCCGAGAGCTTGGGTGAGTGCGCTCCAGCAGCCTGACAGCTGGGCACCCCTGGAGCAGCCAGGCAGGGCTAGGGCCAGAGAACCGCTCCAGCCCCTCTCCCCAGGACACCCCAGCAGGGAGACCCTGGAGGAGGGGAGCAAACACCCCCCCAGCCCTTACCTGTTGCTGGCCCAGGAGCCTGGGGGCATGGAGTGAAAGTGGGGGCCACAGAGGCATGTAAGATCCAGTCGTTTGTAAAAGCGAAACAGGAGCCAAAGCGAACCAGAATTTCCAAGAGCCAGCTGGCCGGCGTCGGGGTAGGCTGTGAGCTGGTCGGGGCTCCGGAGCGCACTGCAATATCCTGGGCTCTTTTGAGGCGGTCCACGAGATACCGGCCCGGCTGGCCCCGCCCCCAGCCGCCGCCGCCCAATAGCAGCGCGCCCAGACGCGCCGCCGGTCCCGGGAAGCGCGGCGGGGCGGGGCCCGGAGGATGCTGCAGCCGAAGCCGAGGCTCTGCGGGCGCTGAGAACCTGCCGCCTCTCCCTCCCCCCGCCAGCCCGAGCCCGGCTTGGGGGCCGGCCCGGGCTGGTAAGGAGGAAGTGGCGTCCCAGCTGGGACTGCAGCAGGTGGGAAGCTCCGCGGCCGGGCTTTTGCGGCGGCTTAATTGCAGCCTGGCCTTGGGCAGGACTTCCTCCCGCTCTGCCAGCCCCACGCTTCCCCTTCTGGGTTTGTATTTCTTTCTCTAGAGGAGGAGGCTGCTCTCTGCGTGCTCCTCCGAGGTCCTGCGATGTGCCCAGACTGGGGCGAGCCTCTGGCTGCGGGGTGGCCTTCCGCGTCGGCCCAGGCGCATTTCCCTCTCCCCTCCCTCCCAGCAGACCCTGAAACCCCCGGAGGGAGCCGCGGTGTGCGCAGGAGCCGGGACCGTGAGCGGGGCAAGGAAGTGGGATGTGCGCGCACGACCCCAGTTTTCCCGGAGGCCGAGCGGTGGAGGCGTGACTTCACAAAGCGCCGGGCTTCCCGGGAGGGTGGACTGCCCTCCCTCGCTCTCTCCACCACCGCCCGCCACGATCTGCTGATCCAAAATCAGAGCAATTAGACAGTAATGATTTCTCGGGAACACCAACTCCTACGGACACTCAGCGCTGCCTGCGCTTCAGAGACCAGGCAGGAGCATCCAAGACCCCTCCCGAATCCCATGTAAACTTCCCTAGGAATCAGTCGCCTCTGCACCCTGGAATGCTGCACGCAGTCGGAGGGCGTGCGTGTGCGTGTGTGTGTGTGTGTGTGTGTGTGTGTGTGTGCGCGCGCGCGCACATTGAAGAATTAGTGCCTGCATCTGGAACTTTCGTGCTGTACAAAAGCGTTACCTTCCACACTCGATCTGACTCACAGCGACTTGATTTGCTATTAAAGGGCATGTCATAGTAAGCCTTCTTTCTCTTCCAGCGCGTTTGAAATCGGTGCTTTCCTTTCTTTGCGCGTCCGTGTTTTCTTTCCGCCTCTTTTGTGCCGTTTTATTTGAACTTCAAAGGGCCTCGTTGAGTCCGCAGAGGACCGCAGCGCCCCGGCTCCTGCTCTGGAGGAGGTAAAACGCACCCCGCCAGTGTGCGGGGTCTGCGCGGGGACCCGCCGCGTCTCCTCGCCCGGCCTCTAGGAGGTGCTCGTGGGGTGCGTTTAGGTTTGCTTTGCTGTGCGAGTAACCCAGGAGATAGCAAGCGTTCCTTGCTTCCACAGCTGAGCTAAAATACTTAAATCAAAAGGGTGTGGTGTCGCCTTGCACGCCCTGGTGACTGCTCTCTGGTAGCGAGCAGGCTGTGTCGCTGCGCCCATTGGTTGACTTTGTACCGTTTTACCTGCTCAAAGCCCCTTTGCCAGCTCTGTGGGGCCTTTCCAGAACTGTGTGCAGGGCTGACTAAGCCTTCGCACACGGGAGGGCTGGTTTTAGCACGTATTAGGTCATGCATTATTTATAAGCAGTATGAATTAACGCTGCAAAATAAATGGATACATCCGAATCCAGGCAGCAGCCCTAAGCTAATTGGCACCGAAGGCAGACAACTCCGTAGCCAAAGGGCAGAGAATGATCACAGCTCGCTCCAGTTCAATAAACTTTTTCTGAAATGTATTTCCTCCTGGATTGTGTTCTCCGAAACAGGCCCAATCCAAATTTAAAACCCCCAGCCCCAGTCGAGTGGATTTCGACTCACAGCCACCCTATGGGGGAAACGCACGACTGTGGCGTTTATGCTGTTCATAGCGATGCTGTAGGACAGAGTAGAACAGCCTCGAGGTGTTCTGAGACTGGAAATGGCAAAAAGAGCAGCAGGTGCTCTGGAACTGCAGACCTTGAGGTTAGCTGCCCAGTGTAACCCACTAGCCACCAGGACTCCCCAGCGAATGCAGAAGAAGGTTAATTAACCCTCCAAACACACGAACTAAAATGGAAAAAGAAAATTAAACGTTCATCTATGTCCTCTTCTTGCTTCCAACTCAGTCTGCATCTCTGTAGACTGCTAAGAATTTTCCAACCCCTGTGCGTCACAGGCAGGACTTATATAATGTCCAGGTAATGAATTGTTTTTGAAAACAACACCGAATGAAAATCACTTCACTTAAACGTTTTATTTTAAACCACTGCAGAACATCATTGTCTTCTATACTGGGAACATCTCTGAAGACATGAACACATCCCGTTGATTGTGTAAATGTAGCTGGGGTGTGTGTATGTAATAAATATACCCCAGTCTCTCTCTCTATCCCCTACAGGCTGATGTGTAACAAAATGTATTTCTTCACAGAGAAGAATCAAATGGAGTTAATGCTTTTAACAAGGAGCTTCCCAATCGGTAGAATATTTGCCTAAATAATTTGGCTAGCTACAGAAACAGGAAGGATTGGATTTTGCCAGTAATGGGAACTTTCTAAATGCATGAAATCATTGCGTGGCCCCGTGGCTTGATTTTTTTTTAATGGGGGGAAATGTATATTTTAATTAATAAATGACTTTTCACGATCTCCCAAAGCCTTTGGTACTTAGGTAAAAATGTGCTTTGGGGGATGACATCTGACAGTTTATCTTTTGGGCTGAGTCAGTCCTTAGTTAGCAAAAAGCTGGGGCACCAGTACAGTTTGGGTGTTGGGACCCATCTGTGGATAAATTTTTTTTCCCAGGAAATGACAATTATGCTCTCACCGATTCCTACCAGGAGAACCGCCTATTATATTAGAGCCAAATATTAGTCACCATCAAGATCCGTGGTCAGATTGTGACCGCCTGAGTGACGCAGAGAGTAATTGTTCCACTAGGAACACAACTCTTCCCTTTGCACTTATATAAAATTCTCTCCAGCAATTAGACAAAGGTCCAGGCTTCCATGTGCCCTATGTCAGTCCAGGTTGACACTTATGAAGAACCCAGAACTCCCTGAGAGTTGCATCTGTTGAGTATTAAGCAGTCCCTGGTTGGTGCAAACAACTAGCCACACAGGTTGGAGGTTCAAACCCACCCAGAAGTAGCAAGGAAGGCTTGCTTGTCCATCTGCTTCTGGAAGGCACAGCCTTGAAAGCTCCATGGAGCAGTTTGTGTTGTTGTCGTTAGTTTTTCCTTGTAGGTTTGACTCATGGTCAGTCACTGTGCTGCAACAATCAGAACCATTGTGAGCATGGCACAGGACAGGCAGTGTGCTATTGTTGGGTGCTTTCTTACAGGTCCGGACTCATGGTCAGTCACTGTGCCCAGGCACCTTGTCAAGGGTCTACCCCTTTAGTGCTGCCCCTCTGCTTTATCAAGCTTGATGTCCTTTTTCAGAGGTTGATCTTTCTTGGTAACCATCTGTAATATGTGAGACAAAGTCTCAGTACTTCAAAGGAGCATTCTGGCTGTACTTCTTCCAAGACAGATATGTTGGTTCTTGAAAGTCCATGGTACTTTTAATACTCTTTGCCAGCACCAACCACAACATCAGCAGTTCAAAACCACTGGCCTCTCTGCAGAAGAAAAAAATATGAAGCTTACTGCTCTTGTAAAGAGTCACAAATTCAAAACCCACCTGGGCTGTTCTACGCTGTCCTGTTGGGGGTGAATCAGAATTGACTCAATGATAGTGAGTTTTAGAGGCAGGTCCAATAGGAGTTTGTTATTGTAAATAACAAGATCAGAGGAGAAAACTGCATTAGAGCTTAAATTCTGGTAACCCAGTTTGCAGAAGGCTGTGGACGGCAGTGAAAGTCCCAAACCTATCTGCAGGGTCCCCATGTAGTTTAAGCCAGGGCAAGTGGATGAAGATGGGTCTCTCTACTCCTGAAAAGAGTGACAGTCTCAGGAAAGTACCAGGCCCATTCTACTTCGTCCTCTAGGGTGACCTTGAGTCAGAATAGACTCGCAGGGAGCATTTATTTTATTTTGTGTGTTAAGTTAAAATTTAACACCTTCATTATTTGTTCTTCCTTTCAACTCATTTTACATTTCCTTTAGTTTTAATTATTTTTGACTTCTTTGGGAATGAGATATTTTGTTGTCTTATTTTGTTATTGTTTGGGTATTTTTTTCTTTATATATGAAATCCAAGATAAATAAATCTCTAGAGACAACAACTGAATTAATATCTTCTCAGAGTTATGGCCACCACTTCTCTGTTGGTTTGTCATACTGTGGTGGCTCTTCATTCTTGATAGTAGTGAGAGCCCCTTTGCAGCTTCTAGAATGGCTACCTTTAAGCCTAGTGGGATGGCAAAATCAGCCAATTCCCTCCTTAGGGTTCCATAAACCTTATTTGCATGGGTCCACCCCATATGGGTACCATGTGTTTTATATATATATATTATCATATATATATATATATATATATATATATATATATTATCATATATATATGATGCTTATCCAGTACCCTGACTGGGTCACAGGGCTTCACATGTTATTTGGTGTCAGTTATAAAGACTACAGCTAAAAGAGAGGCCTCCGCCCTCAAACCTTTTTACCAACACTGACACCAACCATTCTTGCCATAGTTCTGCACAATGCTAGTCACCAGTGTAGCTGTTTTCTGGAATATGGCACAAGCTATTAAAAATGTAAAATATGCTTTGAGTGATGTCAACAGCTCTGGAAGGATACTCTTGATTTAAAAGCATTAAATCCTAGCTTTGGAGGCTTTTATAAACCATGTGTTTTAAGTGTCTTTTAAAACATTTGTTTTTATAGTTCAAGTAATTCATGCCCATATGTCAAAGATACTTTTTTAATGAGGGAAAATGTAGATCCTGAAAATAAATTCATATTTCTACCATAAGGATGTGATTATTATAAATAGTGCTTCACC